CCGAAGATGATGGTAATATAGGAAAAGCGTTTACCCAAGTTGGAGGATCAAGCCTGACTCCAGAAGATGGAGTATGGGGATAAGCTGGTCCAGGCCCAAGTGAAACTGGGGATACTAAGTTAGCCGAAGCCGCAGATTGTGAATTAACATATATTGTAACGGGAGGGATCAGGGAGGTGGGCGAACCCGTATTGCCATCAGGGCTGCAGAAGGAGTGATCAGAATCAATAGTGTTATCTCCAATGCCCTCTGGCTGAGGATGGCCGGCTTTATTCTTGAATAAAGAACGTCCTTGAAGCCCCGATGAGGAAGTGACAAGGAAGGAGAGAAGACGAGGTAGGGCTCGCAAATTGGCCAGATGGACTCTAGCGTGTGGGCATAGCTCAGCATAGCCGCGTAAAAGAGTGAAAAGGGCGCCTGAGTGGTTGACATACTGAAGCACTTCATGACCATCAATTAAGCCAAGCAGCAGATTAAGGAGACCGGTTAGGGCACCGTCTAACTACAAAGTTGTATAAAGACAGGAAATTGTAAAAATTAGCTTATAAATAAGCATTTTCATGAGAAAGGAGATAAGATAATTAATGAGCATCGGCATTAACTAAGAAGTAATTAAGAATCTTAAATTGAACCGTATACGAGGCATAGAAAATACATTTTTTTTCATAATCAAGTGCTACCAGGGGCACCTAAGACATCGGTAATGTCTTGTGAACATCTCAAAAAAATAGGTAAAAATAGCCATCTTTTGGCCTTACCCCAAATACGTTTCAGAGGGGTGATTTAAAAGTAAAGTTTTGAGAAATGTGAAGAATAAGATATTGTGGCATCTGGTTTAATCACAGCCTTCATTCGGTGTATAGGAATGGTCTGACCTCGGTTTCGCAACGTAGTCATGTTGGCAGAGCGACCGAGTTGAATACACCTTGCCCAAAGTCATCTGTTATAGTATTTATGATAATTTCTATCGTCTGACCGTGGATTTGGTACATTCCTGGATGTTTTGCCGGAATTGCAGTTGGCATCGTGAGCGAGTCTTGCCAGTCTTAGAACTATGCTACAAATCGCAAATAAAAAAAGTGAAGCCAATCCCTTGATCAACTTTCTGCAGAAAGGTTGCGCTTTCTGGCTTCGCACATCTACTTACTCCATACATTCTTATCTCATTCCCGCCCTATCGTAATTCTGGCATGCTTACAATGGATTGCTATAGAGATGAGCCTTTTTTGAAGAGTTTAGTGGGGAGTTATCACACCGGTTTGTTTAAGGGTGCTCCCTCTCCATCTAGATTTGCCAGAATTACTGATTCGACTTAGACCTGTCCGAATCTTCTTCAAACCTCGGAGAAATAGTGCCCTATTTTTCTGGCTAACTGATTTCACTCGGTTCCAGTCATAGCATACGTTTTAGTTAAGAGCTATTTCCCATGTCCTGCCACAAACATTTGGTTACACGTATACTTGAGTATAGCCGAGCAGAGCGCCTAGGCTCTGATCTCAAAGGTATGAAGACCAGGATGGTGTGGCCTTTTGATCTCAAAGCTTGAAAATGTTAGGCTTTTGCCTCGAGCCATTTCTGTGATTCAATACGTGAATCCTGGGCAAACTATGAACCATTGAGACTGATAGTTTACAACAAACATGAGCCAACACATAAACTGGAGAGGTAATATAAAGAAACATACTAAACATGAAGAACAGATGACATACGAGCATTGTGGAAAAAAATTGAGGATGAAGAAAGATCCACAAAGGTAGGCA